CGCGAGCCGAAAATTCATTTTAAGGATCCCGCGGATATGATAATCCGCTGATCCTTGCATTTCCGGATTCTCAGATCCGCAAATCTCGAGATCCTCGAATTCGCGGGGAATCGCGAAGAATTAAGACGAAAAAAGTGAATAAATAGTAGCCGGACGCGGGGAATGGCCGAAAAGGGGGTGGAGAAGTAGAGGGGGGGGTGGCGGGAATGGGTTGTGTTTTAACCGGCCCGCCATTCACACAGCACTTTCCTCACCGGTCTTCCTCTCCGCGGCGCCCACCATCTCGTCCTCCTTCGCGCTTCTCATCCCATCGTGGAAACGTTTCCATGCCGGTCTTCGGGATAAATAGTTTGCACAGGAAAAGGATTTCCACGCCGGCAATTTATCTCGAACGTACGCGCGGCTCCATTAAGTGGAGACGCAACCCTTTGAGTCTGTAGATGGGTAGAGATGCTGCGGATTTGGGATTGCGCGGGAGGGGGGGGGGCTTAAAGCTGTAATCATGGGATTTCGGGACGCGCGGAACACGGACGACAAGGCAGGCTGATAATTTCGGAGGAGGGAAATTACTTTGCGCGCGATCGCGATCCCGGATTTTCGGGCAGATTTATGTTTTTCGCGGTGGATTACGTTATCGCGCGTGTTTCTCATTTTCGGAAACGCCGCCGGCCCAAACGACCCAGCATCCTCGCTGATAGCTGTAATGAGCGTACGAACGACGCTCTGGGTTAATTGCCGGAAAATCCTGACTTCTCTCCTGCCGCTCATAAACTTTAAGACACTTGGATGCTATCGATCCGGGATCCTGTGAGATTTATTCCTGAGCGTCTTAAATCCGCAGTCCTCCCCCCCCCCCCCNCTCTCTCTCTCTCTCGATCTTCCGGATTTTGAGACTTAGAGATTTTGGGATTTCGAGATTGGCTTAGTTCGCCGAACTTTAACCTCAGGTTGACGGCCGCGAGGTCAACTCGCAGGACCGTGGTTCAATAGCCGGTGATTCGAGATTCGCGGACGTGTCTTCTTGCCAAAACGAGCTCTCCGCGGCGATGCCGCAGCGAAAAGAATGGTTTACTGTAAAAAGAAATCATTGTGGACGGAGGACCGGGAGAATTTTACTTGCGAAGGAATCGACAGCTGCTGCTTTCTTCTTTCTGCGGCGATAAAGTTAAGAGGGCTTTAAAAAGTAAGGGCAGTTTAAGATGCTTGCCAATCGGGCTTCGCGTCGAGTAACATGCTCTTTGTACGAAATGAATTCAACGGAACGGATCGAGGGCGAGCCTCCGACAGGGGAAAGTTTATCTTCCGGTAACGAGTGGCGAAGAAATTTTAGGAATCCGGAAACACGTACCTCGCGAATTTGGCCTGAATTTCACGGATTTGCATCCCTAAGTTTCTAGAGCCCCTTACGAGAACCGGTACAATCTCTCTCTCTCTTTCTCTATCTCTCTCGTAAGTATTCGCGATAATACAAATAATTCTCCAACTCGCGGAAATTCCATTTCGTAAGTTTTAATTAATTTCGCACGCTGCTGCTTCTTTCGCGAAACTATAAAGAATACAAAGATATCGTTTCCAAGCTGTCGCGTTTCTTTTTCGGTCTCGAGTCCTTAAAAAGAGAACGGATCCTTCTTTTTTCATCTGGATATCACGGGACGCTTTCGCATCCCCGAAACTGTTTCTAAGAATTCCTGCATCTTCGAGTCTGCTAGTGTTTGAGTTTAACGTTTTAATCGCGTCGAAAGATCGTAACTTCCGGCACAGTGCCGTTAGGCACAGCGTGAGAGAGGGTGAAAAAGAGCGAGAGAGCGAGAGAGCGAGAGAGAGAGAGAGGGGGAGGGAGGGGGAAGAGGGAGAGAATGAGAAAGGCTAAAGGAAAGGACGGAGGGAAAAGCAATCAATCTTTGAGAGGCAGATGAGTGCGGGAACCTAAAATATAGGGCAACACAAATTTAGTCTGGCTGCCGGTCCACGTCCACGTGTCGACGTGAATGCGCAACCGCCCGGGTTTGTAATCGATATTGCCGACAAGGCACCACGCCCTGCACCTGCGAGATCTGCCGGGATATGCAATGCCGCCGAACCGAACCTAGTCGAACCTTGCCCAGGACTCTCTCTCTCTCTCTCTCTCTCCCCCTCTCTCTCTTTCTCTCCCTCCCCTCTCTCCCCCTCTGTCTATCCCTTTCTCCATTTTTCTTTATCGCGCGCGCCCTTTTGCATCCTCTTGTCGAACGTGCGTCGGAACTCAGATGATTTCGGGCTTCTTTGAGAAACGCTCTTTGAGTCCTGGATAAACCGATTGTTCGATCCCATATGCGACGGCACGATGTTCGCGTGGAATTTCTTTGGAACCTTCCCCGGAGGTCTTTAATTTTTCCCACACACTCGCCCGCCCTTTATTATAATTCGAAACTCGTGCTCCCTCCCACGGAGCTTGGAAATTTCGGGTTACGCGGAGCCAAATAGACTGTATTATTGGGTCCCTCGTGCAACGCAGTGCAGTGACATTGGAGCCGGGTCTAGTTGAGTCTCCCTCGATCGGGATTCTCGCGTGACCTTTTGCATTCCCTTCCCGAGCATGCTCTGAAAGTTAGGTGATTTCAAGATCCTTTGAAGCGGGAGCCTTCGAGCACCAGATAAACCGATTGTTATATGCGATGACATGGTGCCTCCCCCTCCGAGAGAATGTAGCTAAACCTCCCCCGGGGACTTTTCATCCCTCTCGCGTGCTTATCTGCCATCTCGGCCGTTATGCCGTACCCGCGCGTTTTTCTCGCTGATTTTTCGACCTCCCGATTATACAATCTTGGCTAACGGGGATTATTAAATTCCACGTTGCCGTATTTACGTGCCCGAACCTGCCTGAACTTGGCCTGGGTTAGTTACCGTTCTTCGCGCGCACCTGCGACCCTTCGTGAGTGACACCGTGCGGGACTTAAACGCCGGAGAACCTTTCCCGGTTCTCGACTCCCTAATAACTTAATTATCAAGTTTCTCATGCAACGCCGTCGAACTTCTTTCATCTTTCGCGCCCGAAAAAAGTCTCTCTCTCGCCACTTCGACTTTAAATCCAGCTGGAATCTCGTTACCTCGAATCGCAAACGCCTCGATATTAAATGTCGAGCGGAGAGTAACGAAATTGCCGCGATTCCCGTCGAGTGACGTGAATATATTATATAGAATAGAGATTTCTCTCTCTCTCTCTCTCTCTCTCTTGTGGCGACGATAAATAACTATGTCGTTTGGAAAATTCCACGTAGTTGCTCAGTCGCGATGAGTGGCGCTCCGGTTCCACTCGAAGGGCCCCGAAGGGCTCGCGAGGGTTAAGAATCGCCGCTATAGAGCCTCCGCCGTCATTGACTCCGATCCATTCGGGGCCGGCTTCGCCCCAGGCTGATTTTTTGTGCTCCGCTGCTCCCCGGAAGTAGGCCAGTACAAACCGTCCCTTTATCCGCGCCATGTCGGCCTTATGAATTTTGCGGTAAGAAATTCTGCGCGCACGGGGCAATGAAAAAGTTCCGCCATCCGTTCTCATCCTTGCGCAGGATAAAAATGCAAATACTACGCCGTATATATCCTTAACGCTCGCCGCTCCTCGGTGCGAACGTTTCGAGCAACCCGCATCGCAAACTCCAACGAATCGCTCGGACAGATCCCTTTTTGCAAAAAAGGGGAGCACAATACTGTCGTGCGGCGATCGATCAAGGGAGAAGGAAAGCGCGAGGACGGGAGTCAACGCATATTCGCGCGAGGGTAGAAGAGAGAAAGAGAGAGAGGCGGCATCTTATATCTAGATAATATAAGGAATTTATTCGCGATACGTATGCGGGAATAAAAAAGTCCCGGCTTTCTGTATTATGCAGACGAATGAGAAAGCCAGAGCGAGCGTACGATAATAACGGGGCGAGCAACCGTTGCATAATTAACGGATTCATTACGACGTTTCAATATTGAAGCGGCCAACATCGGTCGTCATCGCCTCTTCGCCGCCGGGATATCTGATGTTTTTAAATAGCATGTTTTTCGAGCCGCGGGGAACGTTTATTGGACCGGGGGCGGGAGTGCGTCGCACTTACGCGTCGCGACACACGGAGAAAACGATTTTGCTGGAACAGCAAATTGTTTGTCAATATAGTGACAACAAAATAATTTGTTTAAACAAAAAGATCCGATGAGAGTATTAGTTTTTGGTTATGATAACCTAAATTTTATCGCCGTCGCAACAACGTTTTGTTACCGCAGCGAAATTATTTTTCCTCTGTGTGACAAATCTTTTTGCCGTCACCGTATTAGCAAACAGTTTGCTGTTCCGGCAAAATTCTCCTCTCCGTGCAGCTCGGGATCGGGCGATGGGAGGAGTGTTGAGAAAACTTGTGTTTTCGCGAGCGAAAATTTAAGTGCGTCGTCTTCGCTCCTTTTTTCTTTGTTTTCGAACATCCGAATGAGTGAATGACTGCGAAACTATCCCCGGGCTGGAATTCTATTAAAGTTCGCCGCAAATTACGCAGGAAATAGCTTCTCGTCCGACAGATTCTTCCTGACGTCTCGGATCCGAAGTGTCCAGAACCCTAAGCTTCTTAAATGTTAAATCCTTTGATCCTTCATTCTTTTGATCCCCGATTCCTTGTTTAAGCGTGCTTGGCAAAGAGTTTGCTTTGCTTGAGGAAGTTCACTGAAGTTCGGCTCGTCGAAAATTCTCGGATAAACCACTGAAATACCTGAACACATCCCTCCCCCCTTCATTCCACCCGTAGGCTTCATTGTTAACCCTTTCGTCATTTTTTTACGGTAACGTTATTGTTGGCTGGTTATTAAGGAGAAGAAAAAAAAATTAAGTATCTCGCGGCTGTATTTGTGTGTATTTGTTAGCCCGTCGGTTCTTTGTGGAAGATTATTTTTGTTCTTTAGTGCACGATCGCTGACACGCTGCTCGTTACGACGATGCTCGACGCTCGATAGGGCTGTTTAATTTATCAAACCTGTATCTCCTTTTTCTGTTTCAGAAGCCGACTACACCTTAGATGATTCCTTTTGGAACGAAGAAACTCCCGTTGGTGAGTAGAGATATGTTGCGGATACACCATCGTAATATTTACACGACATTATCGCCGGTTACACGCGATTAAACTTAATTAGCGTTAACGTTAATCATTCACAACGGCTAACGGCTGCATAATTGAAAGTGTAATCAGCTAATTTATAAGGCTGCCGAGGTCTCAATGGGCGGGAGACTGTGTGCGGCTATTATTTGTGGAATTAATCAATTAACGTTACACAACGTACACAAGGCCGATTCCGGGTTTGCGGGGGAAGGATCCCTCACTTATCATTCACATCCTGAAAATAGACGTTGTTTCTTCGTGGCGGGAAAAAATCAGCGGGAGGATGCCGCGCCACTGCGATCCCTGCGCAATTGCGACGCAATCGCGGGAGGTTCTGCGTAAACAAACCTACCACCGTAAAGTGGAAGGACCGCAATGCAGCACTTTCGTTAGAAACTCGATCCTCGAGGACACGACAAATCCTCGAGCGGTTTATTGTTAAGTCAACACCGCTGATTGGTCGGAAATGCGAAACTTAAATTGGATTACATTTTAGACGGGGACAATGCACCGAGGCGGGCGCGAATATCCTGGCCTAGATATTACGATTGTGTAATGGGGAGAAATCTCCGTCTCGAGGGGGGAGAGTCTGGGTGTAGAAAAATTTCGCGAGATATCTCGTCGCGAATTTATATTTTATAATCCGGCGAGAGAGCGAAAGCTGAGAAAATGTTCATTGTAATGTATTTCGGCCGGTACGCCGACTGCCGGATTCGCGAGCTGGAATTAAGCGGCTTAATTAGGGATTAGGATCTAAAGCGGCGTTGAGCGTACACGAGTAAGCAGCAATAGTACGCAACGTTACACGAGACTTAATTCAATTTCACATGCCATTTGAATGTCTGTTATTTATTTCGGCGGGATTCAATTTGTAAAGTTAATTAATTCCGAGGACCGAAAGTCCCCCGGCGAAACGTCGCGCGCACGCGCGCGAGCGTGCTCGCTAGACGGCGGACTAACGGCGGAAAAAAAATCTAAGGGAGATTCAAGGAATTAAGGAGTTTAATTACGAGCCGGGAAGTTTCGAGCGGCGCGCGGGATATCGCGCGTTGCATGTAAAATTCGAGGAGCGCGGAAAGAACGCCCGGAGTGATCCCGGAATCTAAGCGCTCGAGGAATCCTAAGAATCGCGACGAGGATGTGCCTTTCTCCGCGCGCGAGAGGGCGGG